TGTTGCTATAGATCTAGAGGGCCAAGAATAGTTTAGTGGTGATTCAGAGCATGACACAGAACCATTGGATTATTCAGATTCGGCCACGGTCGAAATTCATTGCCAAATTGCACCTGGCACAATTTTGGAGGAAACTCCACCGGCCACTCTACAAGGTATTTCGCCTCCAAATTTTCAAGATCATATCTTGACTAAAAAGCCTTTAGTTTTTGGTGATTTAGAGCAGGTAAGGACAACGTCGAAAATTGCCGAACTCTTGGCGACCGTTGATGAAGGGACGGGAGAAACACCATTGGAGGATGATGCAAACAGTGGGGATGTTCAAGAAAGGCTAAACTTTGCTAGGGTTGATGAAAATCTTGGACATTTGCCCCAAGAAGTCCATGGAGATGAATGTGAGGAAGAAGAAGAAAATGACGATATCTCCCAATATTAATTGAGGATACGAACTTCGGTGCACGAGTCAGAGCAAGATGATGAAGAGTCCTCTGTATAAGAGCAAGATGGAGCATCCGGTCCTGTGGATGTCCCTAATGAAGCCACGGAGGAATAATCTTCCTCTTCTTCAAAAGGTAAGACCTTTTCTTTATAGAGTTTGAATGTTTCTGACCCGAACTTCATTATTACTGTAGAAACCACAGAGGAGAAGTGTGCTTGACCAAAGCGGTGAAGAAAATGTGAAAAAGAAAGTTCCGACCTAAATCACACCTCGCGCAATTTCCAGGCCATGTACCCGAGCCGCTGTAGGCATTTAGCTGCACAAAAAGAGGCCGAGGCTGGTCCATCTAAAAAAAGCCAAGAGGGCTAGGGGCTAAGAGAGGCAGAAGAGCCACTTGAGGATGCAAATGACGAGAAGCCTGATTCTATTGAGCAAACACCATCAAAGGCAAAAAGGGTGAGGTTGGAAGTGAAAAGGCCTGACTTTACAACACGTGACATCCTAGTTGAGAAGGGCTTTGATGAAGCACAAGAGCTCGTACCATAATATGTCAATAGACGGCTTGTGGAGAATTGTTGGGAGACGTTGTTTGCCTCAACTGAACGTATCAGAGGCCTTGGTGAAGGAATTTTATGTTGCCATCAATCGAAACCGAGGAGACGTAGTGAGAGTACGGGGTAAAGTGGTAAAATTTTCGCCTTCCATTATTAACACTCGCTAGGGTTTGTCAGATGTGTATAATGTCATAGGTAATGAAGTTGTGGTGCATTCATCGGACGAAAAATTGGAGGAGACACATCAACTTATTTGTAGACCACACAAGACTTAAACCGTCTCAACAACAGGGAAGCTTTCCCTAAAGCCTCTTGACATCAATGAACAAGCAACTGTTTGGACGTATGTGGTGAAGAATAGGTTGATCCCCACTTCTCATGATTCCTCCATTAAGCGCAATAGGGTGATGATGGTGTACATCCTGATGAAGGGCATTGAGTTCAATTTTGTCAAACTCATAAGGAACAAAATACGGAGTTGCTCGGAGAAAATGGTAGGTTCACTTGTTTTTCCTAGATTAATAACTGAGTTATGCTTGCAGGCGGGAGTGGAGGCCGATGATGCGAATGTAGTAACGCTCAAAAAGCCGGTCACATCCCTAAAGAGAGTTTGGGGATATTTGATTGTTCAAAAGGAACATTCTTCCATGACCACTACGGATCTCGAGACCCAAGGAGTGGTGATTAGGGAGCAATATGATGAGTTAAGACACAAGTACGAGTTTCTCTTGGCTACTCACATGTCACATGTGAGTTCCTAAAGAAGTTTTACGGTGAGGAAGCACCTTCGAAGGTCGATTTACCATATTCTTCCTGACGTACCACCGATGATGATTGCTCGGATGATGACGACGACGACTAGGGGAGTATCTATCTCTCTTTGCTTTGATATTGGATGTGTGGATATTGATCTTATACATTATGTTAGTTTGTTTAGGTTGTTTGTTTTTTAGTTTGTTTGTTATGTTGTTTAGCTTAATTTTAGTTTTAGGTTAGTTGTTGGGATGTTATGCTGTTAGGAATGAGTATTTTGGTTGTGTTTCTACAGTAAGTTCAAGCTTTGCATGCTTCGTTGTTGTAGCTACTAGCTTGTCCTTAGCTTCTTCAATGCATCTTTTCTAAACTCCTAACATGTTCATCTTTTTAATGAAAAGCTTTCCTTTGTTCATTGTTTTGGTATCATGTCAATGAGGATAATTAAGAGCATGAATAGGTTAGATTTCCTAATTTTATGATCAAGTCATAAGTCATTTTCCACTTTTTGCTTTGGTTATAAAATTGTGTTCTGCTTCTTTTTGTTTTGAAACCTAAATTTTTTCATTGCTTTGAAAGTCCTTGTCCTTTTTGTAAATTTTCAATCTCTCAAAATTTATTTCTCCAGTGAGGACATTATTTCCCTTAAGTTTGGGGGGGACAGTTTGTATCTTTTTTTTATTTTAGAAAGAAAATGCTTTTTACATCTCGAAAAAGAGTCAGAAAGAAAATGCAAGTAATAAAAGAGTCTTATGCAAAAAGAGTCATATGCAAGGAAATTTTTTTCGAAAAAAGAGTATGAAAAAGAGTTCAAAAGAAGGAAAAGCAAGTCAAAAAGAGTGTTGAGAGAAAAAAAGAGTGGGGGAAAGAAAAGAAAAATAAAAGTGAGAGAAAGACAAGAGTGGTAAGAAATACGAGCGGCAAGAAAATGTACTTACTTTTTTTCGTGGGTTCCCACTGTAAACATTCATTTATTTTTAAAGGCTGACGTTAGCATCATGGAGGGTAGTATCCTACATATTAAGGTGACTTCGTGAAAACCATTGTCGACATCATTTTATGTCGGGTTGCTAACTAACAAGTTTCTATGAGTGGCTGTGGTTTGAAAACGATGTTAGTGTGTGGAAAACCTCAAGGGCTAGTAGCCGGTCCACGTGTCTTCTTCATGTAAAACTTTTTGAATCAAAACGGAAGTGTGCATATTCCTTGATTTTGTAAAAAAGTTTTGTGTCTTAGAAAAGAATGAGATTTAGAATCATTTTTGTTTCAAAACAAAGGATGGTTTATGGTTCGTTGGCTTGAGATTAAAGTTAGGAAGTTTGGCTTGTGAGTCCTTCCTGAGTCGTATATGATTCATTTACTTGGAATATTTGGATTGTTGCTCATTCATCTTTCTAGCATATTGATTATTTTAGATTTGTTGTTGTTGTTTTTGCTTGAGGACAAACAAATGGCTAAGTTTGAGGGTGTGTTAGGGTTGACTTTTTTACTGTAGAAATGTATGTCGGTAGGCCTGTTTTACCACGATTTTAAACCATTTCCTATCATTATTTGCCAAAAAGAATTACATATTCTTAAAGTAGAACTTACATAGAAAATTTCTGGATAAATTGCAATATATGGTACTTTAGGAAAAAAATAAGGAAAACATGATCAAATTTCGAAGAAAATAACAGTTTTTTGGTTTTGCAGGAAATTGCACTTGGCACAATTTTGGATATTTTTTTCCAACTTGCCAAAAAGTGCATTTTGATTCATGAATGGCAAGGAAGACATTTCGTATGTGTTTGAATCAAGCTACAACCGTGAGTCTAAGTCAAATAAAGGTGGTTAGGTGAATCTCAACTCATTTCCACCTAAAATGGTAGGAAGTTCAACCAACTCAAGGGGCTATATGAGAAAGTCTTTCTCCTTCGTTGTATAACTCATTCTTAGACTTTAGGTTTATTTTTTAGTTGTTATTTTCTTGTATTTTCATACTTTTGCTTACTGTATTGCTTTTAATTCAAGTGCTACCTTTTGTTCTTTGTTTATTATGTTCTTCTTTAGTTCTTTAGCAAGTTTACACTCCCCTCACACTCGAGAGAGAAGAGGGTCAAGCTAGAACTTCTTGTACGGCTCATTTATTCATTTTAATTCAATGAAAAATACTTCCTTTATATTTTCGTGCATTTTCTTTTCTTTAATCATGTACTAAATTAGTTATCAACCTCTTTGTGAAATTCCTTAGTCAAAATGATTTGATTTTCAACACATTCGGGATTTGCCTAGAATTGCTCCTAGCACTTTTTTGGGTTGGTTTCTAAAAACTTCTCTTTACGTTTTTTGTCTATATGGCCAGTGGAAACTTGATTTATACACTAAAGCTCAACCCTGAGAAGGGTGAGTTCAGTAAAATAATAGAAAACCAATATGAGATGTGACTTAGATATAAGTCGGCCTTCAATAACAGTTAAATTCTGTCATTAACATAATTAATGATAATTATCTAATTGTCATCTATTAAGGCATCAAGAAAGAGGATAAGATCACAAATTTGAAAAATTCTTATCAATGCATTTACAACTACAGTTATACTTTGCCATGAATAGATTTTCCATCACAATTAATAAGTGTCACAGAAAATCATTTAATTACAATTTATAAGTGTCGCTAAAACAATCAAATATTTTTATCCTCCTGTCAATAAAGACCTAAAGACAACAGTTTATAAATTGTCATCAACTAGTATTTAACGACATTTAAAGATTGACATGAATTTTTTTTAACGACTATTTAATTGTCATAAAAACTTTTGCAGTGATAGTTTTAATAGTCAATATTGTCAGTTTTAAATATCACGAAAAATTGTATAATGACATTCGATATATATCACGAAAAGGTTTACAACGACAATTTAAAACTATCATGATATACTTAATAATGTCAACATTTAATTGTCAAGAAACGGTTTTGAATGTTTTTTTTTTTTTGTCACGAAACCTGTTTTGTTAACATTTGTAAAGGTAACTTTTCATATAAACCTGTTTTGAACTGTTTTTAAAAATCGTTTTCCATAGTTGTACCTAGTACCTGTCAATTGTGATGTATTTTACATACAAAAACATATATATCCATTAGTACACGAACCCACTTGTAAATATAAAGTATATACATATAGTAAATTATATATACATCAACAAAGGTTTTTCATGTCCATCAACCACGTACATAAATAAACTATACCAAGTAACTGCTAACCCAACAAAAAATGGCCCAACAGTCATCTTTTAAATATTCCAAGTAGTTATCCGCCATGGTTCTCCAGGCTCTTCTTGGAAGACCTAAGCAATGGAAAAAAAAAACCTCAAATATTTCACAATAGTATCTGCGAAAGGTCAAACTACAACAAATGTGGCTAACATATTACTATTATATGTTGTTAGAGTTCATACCGTGTAAACGTAAAAGGTCAAACTACAAAATGTAGCTAACATATTACAAAAACTCTCGCCCCTGCTTCCTTCAACCCTCGCTCCCACATGCTAAACAACATATTCAAAACAAACAATTAAGAAAACACGAATCTAACTTCAACAAATATACACAAAAGTGGATAACCTAAACTTTCAAATCTCTTACACTGAGTTTACTTCATTTTTCTACTCATTGTAAAGGTTAACATAGTAGAAAAAAAATGATATTTCAGACCTTTGAGTAAACTTCGTGAAAAAACAACAAACACATTTTCGTAAATCATAAGTTTTTCTAAAAATGGATAAGAATGTGACACTTATCTATAAGAAACCACACCTAGACACAAATTTTTTGATATCATAGATACAAATTTTTGGATATCATAGATACAAATTTTTTGTTCAATCCATGAAGGATCTACATCTATTTTAGGTCATCCACTATGTAATCAGTTTTAACAATTACAAAATATAAACAGAGGACCAGCAAACTTTATTTTTGGAATCAACACACTTTCATAGCCTTTATTTAGTGCCTCAAAGAGCTAACAATCACAATAAGCATCTAAGGTCTTTTTCTTCCCTTCAAATCACTCACACAAAACCCTTCTTTCACAAAAACAAAGAAGAAAAAAAAACAATATCAAACGGTTTTTTAAATTCTCAAAATACTAAAGACTTTACTCAAATAAAACTGATTTAGGAACAACACAGATGTTTAACAGTAACAAACAAAAACAATCTACTTATCCAAATCTTAATTGGCTATCTTCGTTGTAGGATAGCCAGACAATTATCCAACTAGACTTTCAATTATATACATGACACAAATATAAACAATAAGTCTTAATTGGCTATCTTTGCTGCAGGATAGCCAGACAATTATCCAACTAATCTTTAAACCACACAATTATCCAACTAGATATTATACTATATGCATGACATATATAAACACTAAGTCTTAATTGGCTATTTGCACAATCTTACATAAGCAAGTCAAGCCAAAAATCAAGGCACAATATTCACAAAAGAGACCACAGAAGCAGCCAGAACAGGAGAGAAAGACAACCAGAAACAAAATATGAACACACAAATCTAAAAAACATGGCTTTAACAAACACAAACGGAAACGGAAACATTATCTAACACATTTCTCACTGCAAGAACAAGCTTTCACAATTAGTAGAAGTAATGAAAGGAAAGAATATGAAAGACAAAAAAGTCTGAACACTCTCTACTAGTGCAAAAGTGCTAACTTGTAAAGAACGATAGAAAATAGAAACTAAAACTGAGGAAGGGACAGAAGAAATGAAAAGTAAGTGCTTCCTCCCCTCCCAATAATAAAACTAAGGGAAGGATCACCCTCTGCCTTTTGCACTATATATATGTACATCTTTTTCTCTCATTCAATTCAATGTAATTTATTGCTTTAGTAATCATTTTGGTCTCCTCCAATCTAGTACCCTATATAATATGTATTTTATTTTCTTTCTCCACACCAAAATGAAACGAAACTATATATATACATTATCCATTCCTTGAGAAGACATGACAAACGTAATGTCTAACTAATTTCATGGGGTGGTGATTGACACAATATATGAAAGGGATATAAAGTCTACAATGAATAATTCTACTCTGGCCAACATGCTTCTCAAGATAATACGATAAGTTTTAGCTCAAGAATATAGTCAATAACATGAGGCGTTAACAGTGACCAAGAACCATACCTCAATACACCGTTACAATATATGTGGTTCATGCCAAGGGTATTGCCCAAAAGTATTCGATTAAATCTTTCACGCAACAAAAATTTTCAATCTCCAACATGCGGTTGCCAACAAAATGCAAGATTATGTGAACGGGGAAGCTAAAAAGTAACATAGCACATATACTACGGAAATTATATGTGCGAGAGTATGAACTCTGCCAACTCCCTCCTAATCACATCAAATTGCTCATGTGTGTAACACTACGGTGCTCCTTTCATCTATACATATTAATATCAAAGTCAAAGCAATGCATCGTGAGAATATATATTATTATTCAAACATTCACACTATGCTATATACGTATGCATTCTGAGATTGTTGTGTTACGAGCGTAGACTATGTCACGCATGAACCGTATGACATAGTATCTGCATTCTACTGCATTTGGTTGTTTTGGGCACTGTGAATACAACATATAAATAATACACCGCAATGAGAAAGATACATATACATCCAGACAAATAATTGAACTTGATAAATGCTTTACCGGTACACGCTTCAGAGTAAATGATTTTTTCTGTATATTTCTTACAGCACTATAGCAAGTAACTCATATAAGATATTTCATCATTATATATGCTAAGTAATACTCAATACTAAAGAGTATGCATGCAGTACACTTACATGGTGATGACACTAAGAATATCATCTGTTAGGCGATTTCTCATCGAGTCAAGAAAAAATATCATATTCTTTGTGGGAGACATCACTATCAACGTCCAACAATCTCTACAAATTCAAGTTAATAAGTACTTATTAGCACGTACGAAATATTCAGGTTGTATAATCTTACTAAAGCTGACAACTTCGTGAACTTTTTACATCTAGGGTATAATGGTTTCTTAGCATTATCAAACATATTTTCAAACGATTTCGGGTACATGTGAAATTCCATCTTAAACAATCTGAACCATGTTAATCACATCGAACAAATCATTATCATCTTTGGGATTCTTATTGAACTCACCATTCAACCTATCTTCATCTATTCTAAGTGCATGTTCTTCACCATGCCAAAACCATACCCTATAGCTCTGATCAATACCGTATTTGTACAAGTGATTTCTAATGGTTGCAACATCCTTATCTATACGATTTCCACATTTCAAGCAGGGACAACGAATAACCTTAGAACCATTTACATGATGGAACCCAATTCAATGAATGACTCGACTCCTAACTCATAATCCTCAGACAATCTATTTTTTTTCATCCATGATTTGTCCATTGTCCTGATATTAGGAAACTTATTAACTGATGACATAAACAATTTATTGATGATATTAGGGAAAAGATAGAAACTAAAGGTCGAGACTAATTTTAAGGTTTATTCAAAGTACATCAAATATGGACAGTATGATTAAACTTGTTGTCAAACTGCAAGAGCAGGAGATCATCCTATGAAAGGCATCATAGGGAGAACTGTTTGGGATTTTGGATTCAAAATAAATGAGAGCGCAAGTGTACACCCGTCACAAGTAGTAAAAACGGAACAAGTATTCCGAGTATCGATCCTCAGGGACAAATGAAGTATTTTTATAGGAAATGTTAATGATCGGTGACTTTGTAATTGAATTTGGGGTGACAAATAATAAGGATAATGTTGGTTTTGATATTTAAAAGCTCAATGCAATAAACCCAGCCCAGTTACTTCAAATTAGCAAAAAATACACAAACTTTTTCCAACTAGGCGCCAGACGCCTATCATAAATTTTCTTCGGTTTTACTTCGCCATCTTCTTATGTCTAAGTGATTTTGAAGGTTTAAGTCCATTCCTAATATGTCTATTAGAAAAAAGAACTTAATTTAGTAAAAACCAACCGTAACCTTAGGTCGAGGTCTTATGTCTAGGCTACCCGAGCGAGATCTTTATGTCTAAAGTATTCCTCTATAAAGTTAAATCAGTAAAGTTGTGAAAACGTATCAACCCGTTTAGTATTGATACTTGGTTAAAACATTAATTGGCCAAATCAAGTTTCAACTTTGGAAACAACTTTAAGTGATAAAAGAGGAGAAAAACGCCTTTTGCCTTGTTGGATTTTAAAAACTTTAACTAACTATCCATAACCGGGCTTGGGAAAAATAAATTTAGCTCATGCTAATAAAGGAAAAACAAAATTGAACGTTAATGGAAGTAGACGACATAATTAAAAGATGAGTATAATTAAAACAAGCTGAAAATTGTGGAGTTGTAACCCGAATGACCCTAACCCGTTCTCTTTCAAGATTGGGGAGCAATACTCGGTCGATTCCTCAAGGTTGAGTGATTACAACTTCGTAATGAGAACGAGAGAGGTAAGAGTAACAAAGAACTTACTGGAATTTTAATTAAACAAGATTAAACTTACAATTCAAGACTAACAAGCTAAAAATAAAAGGTGAACTAGAATTAAACAAGGTTTAAAACAATAACAACTCAAAGAATAAAACAGAAAACGTAAATAAGCTGAGAAGGAACGTCTAAAGCTAAAATGATCACTCTGGGATGATGAATGAAGAGAATGAGTTGCTGAATTTATAGGGAC